AGGAAACTGAGGCAGAGAGGTTAGGCAAGGGCCGTACAACCCGAAGTGAAAGAGGATTTCAATGCCATGAAGGTCCCAGGGTCACACTATTAACAGCCACCTTGACCTCCTGTGAGATAAGAGACCCCCGCCCCGGGGTTAGGAGCTGACCCCGCTACACACCCTGGGTTGGTCCATTCCTCCAGCCTCACTTGGACCTCTTGGCCGATGGTTCCTGCTATCACCACCAATTCTGCCTGGGAAGTTCATATTGCAAGACCTACCTCCTACAGGAAGCTCCCCACCTCTCCTCACTACTCCCTTTGGCAACTCGAGACATCACTTGCGAGACACTGAACCCCCCAAAGACAGGGTCCAGGCCTGGTCCACCTAAGCCTGGTATCCACCTAGCTCCATGCACACAGTAGGGGCTCAGGAAGTGTGTTCCCTGCAGGGCTTGAATGCCTCAGCCCCACAGAAGCCATCACCTTGACCACAAACAGCCCCTCCCCTCTTTAGCACCAGGAAAACTGTCCCTTTCTGCCCTGGAGTAGGGAGACCTCTCTGAAGAGCTGAAGGAAGAAGCTACCCCTCCTTCCCATCCCAGCCACCTCAAGCCCCTGACAGCCTTTCACAAGAGCCCCAGCAGGTTGAGTCATATTTGGCTTGTGGTCTACTGTGACCACAACCTCTTCGTTACACCCCCACCCCCACCCCCAAGGAAGGGACTTCGGAACAAACATTTTCAACTTGACCCATGGAGACTTGGGGGCCACAGAGAGAGATACCTGTGAGACAGAGCAGGGGGCAGCCTCATCCCAACGGTACTTCATTCGTTCATTCATTTATTCAACCAATGTGTACTGACCAGCTCCTATATCCAAGCCCTCTGTCAAACACTGATCACTTAAATGTGTTAGGGGTCATTGGCTGCCATTTCCCAGCCTCTCAGTGACTCCCATGGAGGAGATCATTACAGAATCCATTTGACAGATGAGGAAACTGGGGCTAGGAGAAGTGAAGTGGCCTTCCCAGAGTCACATATTCAGTCAACTATCAAGTCAGGCCTGGAACTCAATCCGTGGCATGCCAAAATTCTTGGCTGTCTTCCCCCATACTGTACTAACTTGAGCAAAACCACTTCTCTCTCCTTTTGATGCAAACAACCTGTCATTTTTTTTTTTTTTTGAGACAGGGTCTCACTGTGTTGCCCAGGCTGGAATGCAGTGGCGTCATCATAGCTCCCTGCAGACTCCAACTCCTGGGCTCAAGTGATCCTCCTGCCTCAGCCTCCCAAAATACTGGGATTACAGACATGACCCACTGCGCCCGGCCACCCTGTGATTTTTATGATTGGCTGGAGCTTGGAGTGGCTGGGGGGCCTGGGGGATTGGACAGGGTAGAAGGGAGAAAATGGTAGATGCCACAAAAGCAGAGAGCCACACAGCCGGATGAGGGAAAAGGGGAAGGACTGGAAGAGGAACCAAGTTCTCAGGCCCAGGGGAGCCAGGCGGGCCAGTGGGCCCACACAGACACAGCTGGCCTCGGGGCCTCTGACCCCAGCAAGGAGAAGTGGCCTTGGTTCTCAGCTCAGCCCAAGGGACCTAGTAGTGACAGTCAGGCTGGGGAGGGACAGCCTCCTGTGTCCTCCCCCTAAGGTCCTCTCTGCCTGCACCCTCATGTTCCTGCTGTGGGACCTTGAGGAGGACACCTAACCTCTCTGTGCTATGGTGTTCTTTTCTGTAAAACGAACCCAACCTTCCCGGCACGGTGGCTCACGCCTGTAATCCCAGCACTCTGGGAGGCCGAAGCGGGAGGATCACTTGAGCCCAGGAGTTCAAGACCAGCCTGAGCAAGAGGGAGACCTCATCTCTACAAAAAATAGAAAAAATAGCCAGGCATAGTGGCACGCACCTATAGTCCCAGCTACTCGGGAGGCTGAGGCAGGAGGATTGCTTGAGCCCAGGAGCTTGAGGTTGCAGGAAAAAAAAGAAAACAAAGACCAGAGATCAGCGTGTTTGCCCAGAGTAAGCGCTAGCACGGTGCTAACTTTTGTTGTGCCATCTTGTTGTTGTTTACCACTGTCACCATCCAATCTCCACCCTCCAGCTCTTCAGAGAGAGAACCCACTTCCTGCCCTCCCCACCCACTTATGGGGCTGAGCCTGTCCGTGCCCCCTCTCCAGATATCCCCTTGGGGAAGAAGCAGGACCCCCACCACCTGCCCCACTGGGCCCTTGAATGA